TAATAAATAAAATAATTATTAAAAAAAAAAAAACACACAGTTGGGACCAGCAGTTGGTGTGATGGCTATGTTGCTGGATTCCCATGCAGTCAACTGTGGTTTGAGTCCTGGACCTGGCAGCTTAAACTCACACCAGGAGCATGTGCGTGCGTGCCCAAGATCCCGAGAGGAGAATAGAGGTGAAGAGATTGTGGCATGGCCATGCTCCCAGGGCAGTGGTGGTGGTGGTGGTGGTGATTTTTTGCTTTCTGTCTCTCTGTCTCTGTCTGTCTTTCTGGTGAGCACATGCGCCCTGTAGCAAAAACCTCTCCAAGAAAAGAAAAGAAAAGGCAATCAAAATCTACAATTATTTGTTTACCTTCATTATCTATAACCCTTGCTAGACTAGTAATCGCAAACACATGACACACTATGGGCCAAGTGTTGTTTTTGTTTGTTTGTTTTTAGATTCGTGTGCGCTAGCTGGAGAGAGACAGAGAGAAGGAGAGGAGAGTGAGAAATCACCCCCTGGGGGGATGGCCATCCTGCAGTGCCTTTTCCATTCTTCTCTTGAGATTTTGGGCATGCACACACACATGATTGGCGTGTTTTTCAAGCCACCAGGTCTAGGACTCAAACCACAAAGTCAGCCATGTAGGATCCCCACCTGCTGGCCCAAGTGCTTTCCTTTTTTTTTTTTTTTTTTTGGCTTGTGTCTTTCATGAGAGAGAGAGAGTAAGCACATGTGTGACAGGGACCTCTGACAAGGTCCTCATGCCACAATCACTCCCAGCATCAGCCAGCCCAAATCATGGGCACTCAACAAAGGCCTCAGGCCACAGTCCCAAGTCTTTCCCACACAGGTCCAGCTGCTTTACTGCTGCACCAGCATTTGGCCTCTCAAGTGCTCTTCTTTCTTTTCTCTTCTTCTTCTTCTTTGTTTTTTTTTTTTTTTAAGAGAGATTTTTGCTATAGGGCATGTGTGCTTGCTGAAAAGACAGAGAGACAGAAGTAAGAAATCACCCCCCTAGGGGGGATGGCCATGCCACAATACCTTCTCTTCCATTCTCCTCTCAGGATCCTGTGCACCCATGCACACATGCCTGATGTGAGTTCAAGCCTCTGGGTCTGGGATTCAAACCACTGTTGGTCATGTGGGAGTACAATGACATAATCATTACACCATCTGCTGGTCTGCCAAGTGCTATTCTAACACAATATTAAGGCATTGAGTCCTCATTCCAACCCCTTGGGGAGATAATGTTCTTAGCCTGGTTTTACAGTTGGGGCTCAGAGATGTCATATAACTTGCTTGTGGTCACACAGCTATAAAGCAGTAGAGCCAAGATTTGAACCTAGGCAGCCTGATCTGGCTTCAGATTCCCTACTCTCTCTCTCTCTCTCTCTTAAAGTTCCTAGAGGGCACGTGTGCTTGCCAGAGAAAGGCAGAGAGACAGAGAGGGAGAGGGAGAGGGAGAAAGTACGCCACAGTGGGACATGGTCATGCCTCAATCCCCTCTCCCCATTCCCTCTCCGTTGGGATTTTGGGCATGCATGCGCAGGGCAAAGTACTTTCTTGCTCACTGTCTCATGTAATCCTCATAGTAACTGGTGCTGCTGGGACAGATGATCTAGGATTATAGGATAACTGAGTCTGGGCACAGAGAACTTTCCAGAGTCCATAGGCAGAATGGAAGTTTCCTCTGGGACAGGGATAGCTTCTGGGAGGAATTTGGAAGAGCAGTGGCCTCTTGTGAATGGCTAAATGAGGAGGAGTCTGGCTCTCCGGACATCCATAGTTCTAGAGCCAGATCCTGCAGCAGGGATCCTATCATGCTGTTTACAAGGCTCGTAAAAATAGGGAGCAAAGTTCTAGAACAAGTCTGCCTCGGGAAGTTTTATGAAACTCTTCTTGGATGATATACACTAACTCTGAGACTCTGTCTTCACACATTTTAAGAAATATCAGTCTAGCATCTAAAGTTATTTACATCTTTCCAGAAGCCTCTCTAATAAATGATCGCCAAAGAAGTGCATGCATATTGCCCAGAAAAGCCCTTTCTTTTCTTCCCATTTCTTACCCATGTCTGCTGCTCCTGAAATTTCTCCAAATTCTTCCACAAGTTCTTTGTTCAAGTTTGCTCACTAACTCCTTCTCCTCCTCCATCATCTTTTTTTTTTCTTTTTTTTTTTTTTTTTGCTAGAGGGCAAGTGTGCTTACTGGGGAGAGACAGAGAGAGAAAACACTCTGCAGTCCCTTCTCCCTCTCCCTCCTATTGGGATTTTGGGCGTGCATCCACACATACCTAGCAGGTTCTCAAGCCTCTGAGTCCAGGATTCAACCATGCGGTTGGCCATATGGGATCCAGTCACACTAACCACCATGCCGCTGGCTGCCCTATCTTTCTTAAAAATGTGTATCCCTTTCTTTATTCATGATAGCGCACACATGCATGAAAGTGAGAGA